ATAGGTACGAGTCCTTTCGTGTCACATTAGTAGATAGGGCAAGAAGAATTCTAAAACACGGGTTCCAAAAATACTCACCAGAGTCGCTAGTGTCGCTGTGGCTGCGCTCTGTATCTTGGCGGCGGCAAATTCAAATATAATTCTATGTCGCACAGACGTCGCTTCGATGTCAGAGGGATGTTATTTTGTCCCACTACAAGTTTCATCCATGCGACGTCGCTGCGATAAGTTGTCTGTGAAATATTATTTGCAATGTAATTGCGATATGTTACATATTTGTGATAGAAAAGCGATGTGTTTTGCGATAAAACTACGATTTGATGTGAGATGACATCGCAGTAAAACGAAAAAAAAAAAAAAGTTTTCACCACTGACTTCTGATGACATCTATAAAATATTGATTATGTGTTGTCGAGTGTTTTGTGACTGGTCAAGGAGACTATACACATAATAAATTTTGTTTTAAATAAAGTTCATTTTATATCCTTCTACCTAATTTTTTTTTTTGTTAAATCTGAAATTCTGAGCTTGTTTTTGAAAATAATTGTGTACAATTATATATTCTTGGAAAGCCCACTTCATGCTCAATGAATTTATGAAATGATATACAGAGTGTTTCCATTTAAAAAAACATATGTTTGCTCCATATCTAAAAAACAAAAGGTGCTAGCAAAAAAATAACTAAGCCACTGGATATTACGAGAAAAATTCTACAAGAACAAGTTTTAACTTTTTCGATGAGTTCAATGATAACTGAGACACGGGGGTGCCTGAAAAGTGGTATTTCTCAATTTCACCCTGTATCTCGATACTATATATGTGTATAGTCTCCTTGGGTGGTCCCTTGGGTCTTCTGTCTGTTCAATCGTCTTTTCAGCGGCGCTATCCTTGGCACCTATACGAATCTCTATCAGAGATCGCAGTTTACTAGTATTTGTATAGAAAAATATGTAGTGTGTGTGTCGGCGAGATGTAAGCAAACAAAGGATATTTCGATAGCAATGTATACCGAATGTTTGCGAGTTCACCTTCACTTTGTTGAGTTGCGTATATTCATGTACATGCTGATTTTAAAAAGAGTGCATATATTCAAGACATATATATGAGAGAGTCTAACAAAAATTACTGAAATATTTGATTTTTCCTCAGTCTTCACATTAACGAGAAATTTCATTTTGAAAATTGAACATAAAATGCTTCGAAATTCGAGTACGCCACTGGGAAGCAAGTGAAATCTGCAGAATCCCAGGGAATCCCCAATTCATCATTTACTAACGTCAAAACAAGACAGTGATGCCAGATTGTTTCAGAGACGAATATCCTGATAAAAATTTGTCACAGAATGAATATGAATTGGAAAAGGTTATGGAAACTAATAGAGGTGAATGTAATATGTACAGGAGCCTTATTTTTTAAAGTTTACAGAGATAACTGTGGGCTGATTATCTCCATGGATCACGAGAGACGGAGAGAAAAATGAGGGGAATGATAGAACGTCCCCCTTCCTTCAATTCGAAAATAAGGCCCCAGCGGGTAGATACAAAATTAGCAGACAATAAATAGGTACACAACATACACAAAGTTGAAAATCGACTCACCTAGTAGATTTTCTTATACCTGCTCGAACAGCAAAACTCCCGAGAGCAAACAAATACTAATATCGAGTCCAATCCAGACTAATATCGTCCTGTGTTCTTGTTGGTTCATATATTCGCACTTAAATCATCGAAAACGACTCGACGACGACATATCCTTCCTGGCAATCTCACATTGAAAACCACGATCACGACCATATCACGATTATCGCGACACAAGACACAACATCCAATTATTTTATTTTTTATTTTACGTTTACAATTATTTTACAAACCAGCAACCACACAAATAAAACTATTATCATATGATCTGTCAACATCATTTCTCAGAACAGTAGTATCTGTGACCATAGATTTCCTCTTTGCTGTGACCTTTGACAGTACTAACTAGGATTGTTCGCGTCCAGAAAATAAACAATCCGAAACCGTCAGAAGCATGCACAAGTCCACAGAACCCAAAAAAAATCATACAGTTCTGTGAAACTGCGCATGCTTCTGACCGTTTTGGACGCAAGAATTCAGATGACCATGAATTACTGATAAATGATTTCTAAGGATCAATCAGAAACAGCAAAGTAGCGCCTGCGTGGTTGTGATTCATCCTGAATGGACACAGCTGATTTTATTTGTAAGATTAGTGCATATAGTGAGGAAGGATCATTTCATTGAATTAAACTAATAGATGTTTTTTCCAAATTAGTTTTTTATGAAAATGGTAGTTTCATTTAAAGATATGATCCTTCCTCACTAATACATTAATCTCAATCACCTGTGCCCAATCAGGATGAATCGCTACCACGCAGGCACTACTTTGCTGTTTCTGATTGGTCCGTAAAAGTCGCCTATTAGTAATAATTCATGGTCATCTGAATTCTTGCCGGTAGCACACCATAAGAACAATCAAAACAAATATCCTTTCTTGACAGTTTGTTGTTCTGAGAATGTATGTTATTTTGGAAAACGTCAAAACGTGATACTAGTAAATGTGAAGTTTTGTTTCTGACAATTTGCTTGGAATGTGACGATGCATTTCTCAAACATTGAGCTGAATGACATGGTTCTTATGTCGGGTCGTTATTGTGCGGGACCCATGAGACTCCTCGAAGGACACGAAATTGTAGCGATGCAAGGAGGTGGAAGGAAGGGTCTAAAGGATTTTTCAGTAAAAGAACTTCCAGCCGTGAGGTGTTAAGTTATACGCTATTCGAGCTTATGTGTAGAAATCTTGGGTGAGTCCATTTCAAAGTTTTTGTATTATCTTTCTGAAATTCAAAACCAGGGTTAACTTCTTCCCCATGTACATTTTCTCGATTATACATTTTATTTAATATCTCCTAATTTTCATGTAGAGTAGCAACGTCGCTTCGTTCATCACGGTCGACTGCGGATCGCAAACGATAGTTGTGACAGAAGTAGAAATCTGGGCGGAAAAGGGGTATTTTGCCCCAAATCTATTTTGATCCTAATAATATTTTTAATAGTGCAATTCGGTAGTATACCTCAAGCTTTCTTAGTGTTTAAAATATATGCACTTATTTTAAAATCAGCTTGTATTCTTCTTCACCGAACAAGAATCTGAATAACAAATGTTCGAAAACATTCGTGTTATCGCAGTATTGCCTCATCGCAACATCTCAGATATGTCATGTCGCAGATGTGTTTACTTATGAACATCGCAGCGGTGGAACGTTTGTGATATCGCACTGTTACCTAAACGTGACATCTTAGAGTTCATCTCAAAGATGCTCTATTAGGTTCTGAATTATTGTTGATAAAAATTAAAAATAAATCTCATACTTACCCAAAATACTTTTATCAGGTTGTATCTTCTCCTAAAAAGGATATTGATGTGAATCATGAAGAGACGAATAGGAATATCACACTACAATCCAGAACATGATGACGAAGAAAGCTTGGGAATAATTCTGAATTATTTTCAATAAAAATTTGAAAATTCTATACTTTCTCAAATCACTATCTCCTGTTTGAAAGAAGATATTGACGTGTATCAGAATGAACCATTGTGTTAAGAAGGAATCACACTTGATGAAACTTCAAGGGAGAAAGAGCAACTTTTGATTTTCCCTGTATAATGAACAAGTCATCAGTTCTTCTCAAGAATTAAAATCAAAGCTAACACTTCAAAACATGAATCTTCGATTTGGTCGCAATTTCATCAGATTCGGACAAGAATAAAAAAAGTTACAGAGCGGCCAGCAGAGTTTTTTGGTGGTCGGTTATTTTTATTGGTGCGTGTATACTTTCATGAAAATTTTATGGGTACAATCTTTGACATTGAGATTGATATCATCAGGTATCATGAAGGTGGAAAGTGATGCAATTTTTTATGAAGTGTTTCGTAAGATCAGTGGCAGATCAATATCTGTTGAGCCGATGAGCATTTTTGAAAAATGATGCTATACCATACGGTATTGCGGACCTATATTCAGAAATTATCATTTTATATACAGCCTGATTCACGGTGGATGGCACATAAGACTTTTCTGGTGAACGCAACGTAGGATTATACTGAAAATTTGGTTTCTTGGTTAATTAGTTGTGTACATTGAAAAGTAGCAACATCTTTGATTTTTTCAATAAGACACCCTATATATCATTCCATTAGCAGATTCTTCCTTAAGAGCTGATTTCATCGATCTATTACACTTGGGGTTTAGCGTAAATGATAACAACAAAGATATAGGGTGTGAAAAATCGAGATTTTTTCAACTTCAAGAATTTCTTGTATCGAAACTATTCATAATTATTCAAAACGGTTTTCATGTCACTTTCTCAACTTTCCATGTACTATCAATTGATATTTAACTGAAATATACCTATTTCAATTAAATATCGATTGATAGTGAATGAAAAGTTGAGATAGGGACATGAAAACCGTTTTGACCAATTATGAATAGTTTCGACACAAAAAAATCTCAATGTTGAAAGATCTCGATTTTTCACACCCTTTATCTCTAATTGTCACTGCTAGACCCCAAGTGTTATGGATCAATGAAATTAGCTCTTCAGGGAAAATCTTAAAATTATTTAATATACAGGGTATATATATAAGATAAAGCACAACTAAGGCACCGAATTTTCAGAATAATCCCAAGTTACGTTCTCCAGCAACGTCTATAATGTGCCTTCCATCGTGAATCAGCCTGTATACTTATACGAAGCAACCAGAAATGTCTTAAAAACAACCAAAGTTCTATTTTTTTGATTGAATAATTAATATATTGCACCAGTATTTCACTTTGAGAAACCAAGTATACTGTTTTAGCGAAACATGTCGTGTTATTAAAAATTCCGTGATGTAAATCTGATAGTATGCTATTTTTTTCACAACTATTTACGATAGATTTTCAAGTAACGATTGAGTCAATACCAAAATATAATATAAAACATCATACTGCTTTATTCATTTTATACAAATCAATACTTATTACTATCTACAATGGAGATTAATACCTACTTATTCTAAATGCTATATACTTTCGTCATATACCCAAAAATTCCAATTCGTAGGTACAATATTCAATATGGAATATTGAAATTCAAAACAGCCAGGGGCGTCCGCAAAAATAATCTCAGGGAGGGGCAAGTCACAATAAATAATGTGCAATATTCACTACATATCAAAAAAACAGTTTTTCTACAGACGTCAAAAAATGACAAGGTTCGCGCATTGATAATGAATTGCGAAGTGACACTTTTTTTCAGTTTCCTACGTTACCATGATACCTTGCAAAAAAACAATGCGCGAAGTAAAACAGTGCGCGAAGTACCTACTTCGCGCATTGTTATGTAAAATGTGAGATATTTATATTTCAACTGTATGGTTCTCAATCGAGCAAACATCCACGGAATCATTTATTTCTGAATGTTCAACAATAACTTTGTTTCATCTCTTGGAGCGCACGGAAGGAAATTCCTATTATGTTCGTTGAACATCGTGCGTACCTAGGGAGGGTAGGGAAAGGCTTTTTGAGCCAGTTCAACACCATTTTTTATATCAAGCTAAGCATATTTTTACCTTAGAACTATATTTTTTGACGTTTGTAGAGAAAATGTTGTTTGCAACTCGAGCGTGAAATACTTTGGTCATCTCGACTATTTTTCAACTCGGCTACGCCTCGTTAAAAAATTCAGATCTCGATCACCAAAGTAGCATTTCGCGCTCTAGATACAAAAATAACTATTTTGCACGACCTATAAGCGATTTCACACAAAAAAAGCGGGTATACAGAGTAGGCACTCTCTAGGCTTTAAAATTTTCCGGGATTTTTCTGGCAATAAATCTACCACTATGTTTGCAGCAGCTTCTTCAATAGTTTTTCCACACATGCCTGCAATATTTATCAGAAAAACTTTGGAAAGCAATTAAGAAAATATGCTACCACACTTTTTCGATGTTCACAAAAAGGAATATGGCTACTCTTCTTTATCGGTAGTCATGATAATCGAATAACTTGATTTTCTGATTACCTATTGTGTTCAGATTTTCATTTTCATATTGACAATAATTGATTTTATCATAAGATTCGTTCAATTAAAATCGTCGAGTCGTGCAAAAAATGGTATGTAAACCTGGCTACAAAACCATCTCTGGAAAAATTATATGCTCTTTACTCTCTCGATATATAATCTACTATTATTCTACATAAAACATGGAATAAAAAAAAGAAAATTGATTGACACCACATAGGTATTCTGTTTACAGCCAAGATTACAATAAAAAATTGCACGCGATAATAATCATAATCTTGTTTAAACAAAAATGGCATTCTTATAGAGTCTTTAGCAAATTTATCAATGACTTCGTTGATAAAATTAACTCTATACATATCTATAAGATGTCGATGAATACTAATTAAACAATGTCTCAGAAAGTCACTATAATAAGCGCTAATCACAGTAGGAATTGGATAATGCAAATTTATCTTGATAGAAAGTATCTGAGTAGAGACCAGGCGCTAGGGGGAGGTGAGCCCCCCCCCTTGCCTCTCCCTCCGGACGCCCCTGAAAACAGCCGTTTTAATGAAATTCCATTTACGCATATATGCGGAAAATTTGAATAATTTATTTCAATATTGCATATATTTTCAGTGAAATTCAACAAACTTCGATGGATCATAATGTATAAAGTTTATACAGTTTATACTATAAACAGTATAGGTCTATACTGTGCTATAAACGCATATACGCATAGTTCTTTCTACACTGCACTGCACTTCAAACAGTCTTTTAATACATCATTCCAGGATGCATCGCGTTTCCTCTGTGAAAGTAGACATTTGGATTGGTACTCAAAGTGGGTTCCAATGTTGTGTAGACATTACCATCGTCTGGATGTAGAAAAACACCACCTGAAAAAAAGACAATTTTGATCAGGTACCTATCTATCAAAACTTCAGGACATATTTTCATTAAAGCCATAAAAACGTCTTTCTGATTTCGAATCGGATAATGATCTTGTTCAAAGTCGTTCCTATATCTCATTCAAATAACTTATAACTGACCTTTGGATTGAATATAATATAATTATTGAAAAGTATAAGCTGATTAAAAATGAGACCATTATTACGTGCCAGTAGGAGTTTAAAACACATTTTTTCAATGAAAGTATCTATGGGAGAATATAGGATCATGTATCAATTTTTGATGAAGATTCAGTATACTATCTAGATCTTCGAGTTTGAACTCAAATCAAAACCTTATGAATATGTCCAGAAATCAAGATTTGCAAGTCAAACAAAGTCACATTGGTAGTAGAAAGAAGCAAGACCTCAAACTACTTTATATTAGAATATTGGTGGATGATGACTCCACTTTGTTACAATTTGTGTTGGCATGCATCATCAGATACTACATGCACGAATTCAATAATATACCCGAAAGATGGATGCCGTGCCATTTGTATGCAATTCAACAAATAATCCGTGTGGTGAAAACATTCAACCTGCATCTATACAGGTCAGGTTTATTCAATTTTCAAGCGAATTGTAGTTTCAATATAAATACAACCACAGAGTGACCAATTTGTCTATTGAATCGAAGAATCGATGAATTTCTTTGGATCATGGTGGAATTATAATATTGTGTGCTACGACGCATCTTCGTATACGTCACTGCGAGTAAAACAATTACTTGATAATCATTCAGGTGCGAGTATATAGACTCGCAGTGACGTTATGCGCAGAAAAGATGAATTCGAGATACGTGAGTAGCACACCATATTATATTTCCACCATGATTTCGACCAGGTGTCAGCCCTAATAGCGCAAATACCGCGCCAGTGCCAGGTAGGTTAGTGAGCAAATCAACAATACTAAATTATTTCTTTCCATATTCCATTGTGTTTGGTTCGGTAACCAATGATAGTAAACAATATCGTTGTTTGAGACAAAAAGGTATTGCTGGCGTGATTATTCAAAAACAAGTTACCCAATCAATCAGATCCCGAGAATGAATGAAATACAGATCAAGCAAGTATGTGAATCTTGTAGGCTTTCCTGATCAAAGCAGAAATATTCAACTATAATATGGTGTAATTATATCTCCAGCATGGGTATGAAATGCCAAATCTGCCGAAATCGGGAACAAATCAGATTAAGCCGTGAGAACTTATCTTTACACTCTTGATGAATGGAAGACATTCAATTTTTATGAATAGAAATTCCACTACTCGATACTCAATCAATAATAATAAATATTATTTCCTTTTTCATGCTAAAAGATGCCATGCAGAAATTAGTTATTCAATCAACTGAAGTTATGATTGGAATTGTTCCTGGTCAAAAGCAAATAATGTGTTATTATACAGACGCTAATTAGAAGAGAATCGAAATGCAATTTCGTCGTTGAATATATCGTTATGTCATAACGGTACACACTTTGGGTCAGCGGTCACAAGCATCAAAAGGCAATTAGTTTCTTGTGCAGAAATGTTAGCATAATGATTGTCAATATATAGGTATTCTTTATAGGTATGATAGAGGAAATGACCCGATAGTTCAGAGGTTTAATGAAATTCTAGCCTAATAGGTATTTACTTCTCAATATTCGTAATCCGCATGAATTTTGCTCACAAAATAACAATCAAACGCGTCAAACTGAAATGGAGATGCGATAGGTTGTATTTTGACGAAGTATTTTCAAACCTAAGCACTATAGAATATCGCAGACAAAAGTTCCCAGTCATCTACACAGAATTTCTGTTATTTATCTAAACATATATTTCGGACTCTTTGAGTCCATCATCAACCGTTAGTTATGAAATGGAGAAATCATTCTGAAAAACCCTTCAAATGTCCAACTATTTTGTGACTTGGTAACATTTTTTGCAGTATAATTCTATACGCACCATCAAATTTTCCACAAGTTTGTCGTTGTCATGTGTCATCTTGGACACAAAATGCCATGACATGATAAAACTGAATCTGTATAGGATCGAAAGGATTTGTGTATACAATCAAACTCAGATACTATAGCGATAAGATTTGCCTAATGAATTATAAGGGTTCTCTTCGACCCGAGTTCTTCACTAATACAGTTCCCTGATAGTACAAAACGTCCTAGGGACGTCCCTATTTGGTACAATTCACGTCCGAATGTCCCGAACCAAAAATGAGTGCATGTCCTTGGGACGTCCCATCTCGTACATCTTATGCAATGCCCGAGCAAGGACGTTCACGGAATGTCCCAGCTGGTACATCATTTCAAATGTCTTAGAAATAGCATCCCTTAGACGTCCCATGTGATACATATTGTAGAATGTCCATGCAAGGAAGTCCTTGGCATGTCCCTGATGGGATATGATTTTAAACGTTCCTTTAAGGACATCCATCGGATGTCCCGAGTAGTACATATTCTGGCATGACTTCAGATATTATATAATGTTCCTTCTAGACAACCATGAAATGTCCCTGATGGTACATTCCTTCGAATATCACTGCACAGACGCCCTTAATATTTCCAGGATCGTATAACAATCGAAATGTCCCTCAGGGATATCCTTCGTCGAATGTCCCAATTGGTACATGAATTGTACTCTTCCAATGTCCTAGAAATAACGTGTCCCAGTCGGTACTTTCAATATGTTGTTCCTGCGAGGACGTTTACTTACACCTCGCCGACGAATGATTGCTCGTAGGCTAGAAGTACTCCTCGTCAATGTCCTTCACGTAAGTATTGGACATCCATGGGAAACTTTTTGGGGACCTTCTACGGACCATCAACTCAACTGGATGTCCTAATCAGTTATGCAATATCTGGTCCTAGAGGAACCCAGAAAAATTCGAATTCGAGAATAATGCGTACGTCCCTGGGACCTCCTATGGACATCCAATTGATATCCCTCAGCGTTGCTGATATGTTGTCTTATAGATGTTCTAAGGATGTCCTCTGTAGTGCTTGATGAGGAGTACTGTAGGATTTGGGTATTCGATAGTTGTCTCAGGGACGTCCCTAGTTGATCCTCAAGTGGGACATTTGTGCGTCCCACAGATGTCTAATGAACGTCAACGGTACCAAATTCGAACGTCCTATGGACGTCCTGAATTGCCCGACAGGACGTCCTAAGGATATCCATGGGACATAAGTGTGTTATTAGGGGTACCAGTAGATAGTTGAGTCGTTGATATTTTCCATTTACCTACTTCAAATTGAGACACACGAAATCCTCTTTTGTGATCGTCAATGACACTGGGGATTGTTTTTAATTGATTTTTTTCTTCCCCTGTATACCTTCAACACTGCCTTCGATCTTTGATCCATAATCTATATTGAATTATAGAATATACTACCATATACAAATATACATATTGCATTTCAAGACAGGGAAAAATTTCAACTTCATATTAGTTGGGCATTATAGATTTTTTTCTATGGATTCAGAATAAATATTGAAACTGCAAAGTCTGACGCTACAAAATTTGACAATTTGATAATTTTCCTAATAGTTACGGGGGTAGGGTAGGTACTATAGTATATTCTGCAACAAGTGGGGAAAGTTCAACTTTTCTCACGAGTGTGAAAGTTTGTGGCACGAGCCTGAAGGGCGAGTGATGCAAACACACGAGTTGTTGCACACTATACTTTTTCTACAACTGCACTTATCCAAAGAATCCAAGTAATGTAACTTATTGGAATTCATTTTATGATATGACACTATGCCTCATTGAAAATTGTGACCAAAGAGTAGACGCCTTACCTGGTTCCTCAAAGTATTTAAAAAAAGAACACTTTCCCAAGAAGATTTTATTTCTGTATTTTTTTTTAGATTCCATGAATTTTTCGAACATGCCAATTCATTCATTTCTTCTTGAGATTTCCGGAAACAAATCCAATTTTCGCAGCTTTTTCCATTATCTCTGTCTCTGGCGGTGTATTAATCAAAATCGTCACATCTCGGTATAAACATCATATTATTTATTATGAATTGTTGGAATAATATTTGATGGAAACTGGGATTTCTATCGAAAGCACTAACGAAAGAAACCTACCCTAAAGAATTTAAAAAACTTCTTCTGACAGTTGTGACAACTATTCAAAGCTGAACACCAGGCAATTAATTTTGGTCGATTTTTGTTGATTTGATGATGATTGTTAATTTTTGTTGATGTGATATTGGCAGAGTGCCGTGAGAAAAAATATTTCTCACAGTATGAGCAATACATGGCTTTGAAACTAATTAAGCTATGAGAAATGCGCTACTTTTCATAGCAGTAGTAGAAAAAAGTATTTTATTATTAATTCTCAATTATATGAGTAGATTGTAGATTGAAAGCATGCTTGTGATATATCGATGGATAGGTACCGTAATTCCATACTGAATCGTAATTTCCAGGAAAACAAATACTTTTTAATTGAAATAAAATTTGGTCAAACCGGAAGTGCCATATTTGGTCTGATGGTCTGATACTATCGGAATTATACACTCATAAAATCAAATCGATGTACCAAATTTGAAACATCCATGCAAAATGGCAACGAAGATACAGAGGAGTAAATTGGTTCCGGGTAAACTATTATAGATAACAATGGAATTAGTAGCTTGTATAGTTTCGTTCAGAATATGGACGGTGATGTGACAAAAAATATGAATCAACGATCGTCGTGTAATATATCTAGTAGGTAATAAAGTGGAATCATTATTCATGGTCGATAAATCCGTGGTCCATGTATATGAGAAATTTATAGATTTTCTCCCTATTGCTTTTTTCGAATTTGATTATTCACATACCTACCTACTTAACGCCTCACCCAGTACATGAAATTCGATATTAGATAATAATTGATGTAGCGCGTAAATGGTTTCCTTGAGTAGCGGATTTGATACCTTTTCAACCAGTTTCAGAACAAGTAA